GTTTAAGGGGTCATGTCGGACTGTTGTAAAGACTAAATCGGAATCAATGTTGAAACAGTTTAAAGGGGTCATACCGGATTGATGTAGAGAATTGGAGGTTGAACCAGTCAGCGCGGCACACACATAACTTATGACGTGGTACTGAACGATGATGGCAATAGATGATTGAGTGCGCCAAGGGGCGACTTATTAGAAAGTGTGCCAGGAGGGGCAGCTTAGGTGATGCGCTAAGGGGGCAATTTGGGTTGTGCACTAGAAATGGTGACTTGGGTTGTGTGCCAGATGGGGCGGCTTAGGTGGTTCACATGGTATATCACCATGCTCACCATGATGTAGGTATAATACCCCCCTCAAACTCAAATAGGTTTGAAGATAGAAACCTATTTGAGGTTGAAATAGAGGGAAAAGCAGTAAAGCAGAAACACAAAAAAAAAAATAGATTGCTAGTAAAAAGAAATATGATAGAAATACTTGAGATAAGAATAAATTAGTGGATAGAGGAACAAATCACCACGAAGTGATACTGAAAGAAAATATGATAATGGAATGGGTTGAGGTTCGGCGGGCAGCCAAGGTAAGGCTGCAGCCCGCCGGTGAAGCAAAATTACTAAGTACTTAACTTAGTTTTGATATCAAAAAGAATGAAAAGAATTATTTGGCTTACCCTTGAATGAGGTAGAGGCCATGTATATATAATAAATTCATGATATAATTTAGGAAACGATAAAAATAAGGAAACGATACTAAATCAGTGATTGACACAATCATAAATTATATACATAATACTAAAAATAAAAAGATTCTATGTACTACAATTTCTATATTCAACAAGGACCTTATTGGGATATGCTTGTTGGGGGGAAGATTTGAGTGATTGCACTACTTCCTGTGGGTTAGTGTATGAATGGTATGAGGAAAGGTTGGGGTGAATTTCCTTATTCGGAGAACGATGAAGAGACTTTGGGCATGGTGTTTGGTTTTGAAGTCATTGTCCCATTCTTAATAGGGTATAGTAGCACAAAAGAATGCTGCAATGGCAGATTATGGGATTATAATAGGAAAGAGAGTGATCAAGTGGTAGGGACGTCAGACATAGGATCTTGCTTTTGATTAGAATAATAAGCTGGTGTGTCCTTTGAGACATAAAGTGATCTTTGTGAGAAGTGGAAATGATGAGATTTAGTGGCTCGCCACTAAAAATGAAACATTTGAGTTTAAATTGTTCTATAAAGTCTTGGTGGGTACCGCAAATATTTCATTGCCCTTAGAAAGTAGTTTGAAGCGCTAAATGCCCTTCAAGGTCGCATAATTTTGATGGTTGGCTGTGGCATATAGGAAATTTTAAGGGGAGAATTTCTTCACAATGGTGTAGTGTGGTTGAAGATGTAGGAGAAATGGTGAATCATCTTCTCATCCATTGTCAAGTGGTTTGACAAGAGTGGTTTTCAATGTTTGCTATATTTGTGGCAGGGGTATTTTCTTGATTGCTGGCTAAGTTACTTCACACTTGGACGGGATGTAGAATTGATAAGAGAAGATGAAAGGCTTGCAAAGTAACTCCACTATCCTTTGTTTCCATTAGTTAACTTTTGCGTGAGATCAAACAAAAAGAATAATCAATTTTGATATAATGAATCTAGAGCATAAATTTCACATAAAATCGGGGAAATGATTCAGTAGATTGAGAGCTTCATGTGTATAGAATAACTTACTGTTATGCTTTTACAGTCTATTCCAATTTTAAAAAATCTGAAATTAAATAGACAGATCTTGCTTTTAATGATAAAAATTATTTTCGTAACTATTTAATGGACAGAAAGACAGCCTTTTTTTTTTTTTTTTTTTTTTTTTTTATGGTAAGAGACAAACATAGTCATTCTCAAGTTCAAAATTATCTGATCATGTTGCAACTATATGTTCCTATTAAGCATATTCCTGTTGTTCAACTTGAAGTAGGTGCATTGCATACCACATTGTGGTTGTTTGTCAATACTAGACCCACTGTCTTATTATACATTTTTCTTTATGAAATGCATTTTGTATAACAACGACGCAACAAAAAGTTCAGTTTCGTCATAACGTTTAGTTTTCATTTGGAAAAGAGAGAGGATAAGTTTGTTAAGGAGGAATCCGGATTCACATTTCTTGTAATTGTAACCTTCTTTGTTTTGAATCATTCTAAATTTGATTACGTTGCACAGTTGTTTATGGCAACTGAAGTATGCCTGTATTTTGGTTCTTCTGTCAAGTAAGATTAGTCTGTCAGATATAATACAGATTTGTTTAATGGCAGGCCAAATTTTAAAATTCTATTGTAAATGGCTTACCTAATATGATCTGAACTTCAATTTTTGAATCCACTCAATTTTTTTGTTTTTCACTTTACTTTTTAACAACGCCCAATTAGTACACATTAATGTGTGTTTGGAAGGGGAAAAATCGAGTACACACCTAACCTTTGGCATGATACACAAGGTCATGGTCCTAAGACTTGAACCAATAACCTCAAGTTTATTAGGCCAAGTCTTAACTATTGAACCAATGGTCACCCCTATAACGACTGAGGAGATTGGATCGATTATCACAACGATTGGGGAGATTGGAGCGGATGTGGTCCACAAAATTAAGGTGGGGTGGCCTAAGTGGAGGAGTGTGCCTGAAGTACTGTGTCATAAACGAGTACCCATTAGATTAAAAGGGAAGTTCTATAGAACGGCTATTAGACCAACGATGTTATATGGGACGGAATGTTGGGCAACTAAGAAACAACATGTAGATAAGATGAGTATTGTTGAGATGAGGATGCTAAGGTGAATGTGTGGCAAGACTAGAAATGGCTTTGGATAGAGTCGAGTGGAGAAAAAGGATTCATGCAGCCGACCCCATTTGATAGGACTGAAGGCTTGGCTTGGTTTGGTTTGGTGTACTTTACTTTTTAATTTGTTTTTTATTTTCCTCTTTACAATAAATTAGTTATCTTTCTTCTTGAAGTTATTTATTAATACCAGCTAGTTGATAAAATAGAGGTTCATAAAGTATTTCTTGATTAGGAAACTCTTTTCCTTATGATCTTCATAGCAAGTAATGGATCATGGATGGTTGTCATCTTTTAAGGGGTTCTTTGTTATAGTTAACAATATGATAGAGAGAGGATTTTATGCTGCAAATATATTACTGCATTATCTAATTATCAGAACTTGGTGCAATTTTATATAGCTTCATGGAGCTAGTATCCCCATTTTATAAACAAATTGAAGATGCTTAAATGCTTTTTGATCCTTGAATGTTGTTTCTGTATATGGCAGTTTCAGTCAAAGAATTGTTATGTGCATTTCATCTTATTTGGAATTAATTTGTGGCTGCACTGCTATGCTACTGGGGCTGACTCCATAGATATGGATAGGTGATAACTCCTGATCTTTTTGTCATGCAATATTCTAAGTGATATTTAATCTCATTGATGGACTGATGTTCCAGAAGCATTAGAAAATCTATTACCTAATTGTTTGCTGGTCTACAACTGTCAGAGCTCAATCACTTGTTTTGCATTATAGGTTGTGGAAAATTTGAAGAAAAGGTCGTAACATTCACGTCCCCATGACTGGCAGATCCAAGCAATGGTTGATAACAAGAACGCTGGTACTGGGAAAGGGAACATACACATCAAGATATCTCTGTTCAGGCCTTGTATTTTTCCCTATCCCATCTCAGTGTCACCAGCATTCTTCTCTTGTTGCTTCTCTCACCTTCAATTCATCTCTTCTTTCAACTGCTCTCGCTGCCATTGCTGGTTTGATCCGTAACTTAGCATGAAAAGAAATGTACATGTTCTGTCTCTGTGGAAGTTGGGACAAGTAGTCTCGAAGGAGGTAAGTTTTTTATTCGGTGGATTTTTTCCATGCCATTGCAAGTTTTTTTTGATAAATAAAGATTTATTGAGAAAGCATCAAGGAGATGCCAAAAGAATACAAAGCGAACCCCTCAAATAGGGACCTAACCAACTAAATCATCAATAAAGTCTAAAACAATAAATAAATTAGGATCAACTCTTCCCGACACCCAACTGTACAAAGCACCGCAAAACCGAGACTCTAATTGAACAATCGATTGAGCACTTTGCTGAAAACCCGACGATTCCGCTCCGACCAAAGCAACCACATCAAATACAAAGGAGCTAGCGCCCAAGCTCTCCGCCGTCGCTTCCCAACTCGACCACCCCCCTAACAACGAAGCACATCCATAACCTGCTTTGCTTGAGCCCACACCACTCCAAACAAAGAAAAACTAAGCACCCATAAGCGAGAAGCAACCGGACAGTGAATAACCAAATGATTCACTGTCTCTACATCCGCATCCGCATCCGTACAACACATGCAACACCAATTCACCAAAATATGATGTCGACGGATCAGATTATCAATAGTCAAAATTCTACCAAATGCTGTCGCCCATACAACGAAGGCCACCTTCGATGAAACACCAAAAACCCATGCGTGACGCGAAGGGAAAGACCTCCCACCACTGCCACACAAAGTCCCATAAAATGACGAGATGGAAAAAACACCTTTCGTACGTGGAATCCCCCAAACCAAAACATCCTCCCCCTCCTGGCTGACCTTAACCTCATACAAAAAGGCCAACAAATCCACCAATTGCCCAAACTCCCAATCTTAAGTCTGTCAACGAAGAACTATATCCTAAACTAGCCCCTGACCTCCTCCACCCAAATATGAAGCCACCATCACATCAGGATCCACCGCCAACTGAAAGATCACAGGGAAACGCTACTGCAAAGTAGTGTCCCCATACCACCGATCCTTCCAAAACTGCACACGCACTCCATCACCCACTCGATACTGGATTTGATTCCAAAACCCAACCCTACCCAACCAAATTCCTTTCCATAATCCGCACCCATGAGAACCCCCCACCTCCTTGGTACACCATTCACCCCTCCGTAACCCTTACTTAGATGCCACCACCCTCCGCCATAACTGATCTCATTCATTGGAAAACCTCCACAACCACTTCTCCAACAAAGCCAAATTAAACTTACACAACCTCCTCACCCCCAACCCCCTGTCCTCCTTAGGACAACAAATCTTCTTCCAACTAACGAGATGATACCGAAACTCCCCATCATAATTTCCCCACAGAAAATCCCGCAGTAACTTCTCCAAGTGGCGAGCCACTGACACAGGAATGACATAGACAGACATGAAATAAGTCGGAATACTGCTCAATATGCTCTTCACCAAAGTTAGCTTACCATCCTCAGACAAATATTGCCTCTTCCACCCTGTCAACCGATGTTGCACCCTCTCTAACACCCCATCCCACACCCCTTTCGCCTTATAAGGAGCCCCCAAAGGCAAACCCAAATAAGACATCGGCAAATGAGACACCTTACAACCCAAAATGGCTGCCAAAGTCAAAAGATGGCCGACCTCCCCTACAGGAATTAATTCTGACTTGGTCAAATTCATCTTCAGACCCGAGACTGCCTCAAAATAGAGCAAAACACAGCGCAAATGCCCTAATTGCTCTGAGTCAGCCCCACAAAAAATCAAAGCATACAAAAGATGAGAAACACGAACCCCATCTCCCACTGAAAAATTTGCTAACAAACCGCCCTGCACCACCCGAGACAACAACCGACTTAGCGCCTCCATGACAAGAATGAACAACAAGGGGAACAATGGATTCCCCTGCCGCAAACCCCAAAACGTTTGGAAGTAACCTGCCAGCGTCCCATTCACCAAAACAGACATTCATGCCGTCGAAATGCAAAACCAAATCCATCGCCGCCACTTTTTTCCAAAATCCATCCGCTCCATGATAGACATCAAAAAATCCCAACTGACATTATTATAGGTCTTCTCAATATCACTTAGAAAATATGAAGAAGAAGAACTCCGAAAATATGAGGAAGAAGGAATATATTTCTGTTATATTCAAAACTTCTTATCTTACAAGACCAAATGACACTCCTTATATAGGAGATATTACAAACATCATCATAACCCATTATATGCCACTTACATATTATATATTACCACTATCTACCACTATCTTATTATATACATGCCACTATCTACCACCAACACCACTATCATATTCTATACATGCCACTATCTACAACCAACACCACTATCATATTCTATACATACCACTATCTACCACCAACACCACTATCATATTCTATACATGCCACTATCTACCACCAACACCACTATCATATTATATGCATGAACACAATTTCCAGCAATATCCAACTTACAAATCACGCCTGACTGCCTTGCTCGCAAACAAGAATCAACACTCATTAGCCACTAACACTGCATCCAGAATCTTGTGACTACCCACAAAAGCGTTTTGTGATTCTGACACCACATCCCCTATTTGAAACCGAAGCCTATTGGCCAAAACTTTCACTAGAAGTTTGTACACACTTCCCAACAAACTAATTGGCCGAAACTGTTGAATATCCTCAGTCCTTCCCACCTTAAGGATCAAAGCAATAAAAGTCGCATTAAAACTCTCCTTAAACTAGCCCGTCTGATAAAATTGCCCCATTATCCACGCCATTGCAAATTCATCCACAATTGTTTAATGTAAATGTTTTCAGGTCTCATAACTCTGAAGAAGTGTTCAAATTTTAGAATAATGCATTTATGATGCATTTTTATTTCAATTGGACACTCCTTGCGCACTCTGTTCAAATTTCATTCACTTTTCTGCAACTTCTATCAAAATCTGGCGCTTTGTTGGTGAATTAGAATTGGAGTTAATTTTCATGATTTTAAATTTCTATGTATTGAGAAGTTTTGTTCATCTCTTTGTGTCAGACTTGAAGCACAAAATATTTGCGTATGAAAAGAAGATAGACTTGAAGCACAAAACTACCTCTATTTGCCACCCTTCGGGTTTTAGGTAGCTATCACGCTCAAAATCTTTGGGGATTCTTATGGAGGAACCAAATAGACGAAGGAGAGGTGAGATAATCCTCATAGTCTCTCTTATTGCTTGCCATGTGTATTTTGTTAGGTCATCCCTAGTGAGAAGCTGTTTGAAACTGTTTTTCCTAGTTGTGTCTTCTTGTTCAGTGAGCCCAGTTGTTGTATAGTTTTTTGATAAATGTATTTACTTCCTATTCTTGTCCAGTTGAGGTACAATTAATTGTGTGCATATTCATGCATGTGTATGAGTTGTGCATGTCTTTTTTCCTGTGCATGAAGAACCTTGGTATGAATGCTGAAGCCATTGATAGAATTGCATTAGGACAGTTAGGTCAGACAAAGCCCCGTATCATAAACTATAATAATAATAGCATTATCTACAATGTCTTCCTATCATTGTGACTGCATTATCTTCACCATGTTTCTGAGTGTGCAAGTGATGAGCTCATCTTCTGTGATGCACAACGTTATCCCATTCATCTACTTGTTTATGAGGTCAGGAACAACTTTATGGATCTTTCTGCTTGATTTAAGTCCAATGTTGAAACTAGTCAACGAAAGATGCAAAATTACTTGGGAAAATCACATTCCTTGCGCCATGAGGTGAAAAGCATGAACAGGGTTAATTGTGAATAGTCACAGCCTACATCTCATGACATTAAAATCAGTACCTAGCATATGGATTTATTTTCCTTGTTTGAAGGGCGTAAATGTTGTCAAATATGATTTTCTTCATCAATCAAATAGTTGGCACAAAAATAACATTAGTTGCCTTCTTAGTTTCCGAATTCTGTAGGATATGTTTTCTGACAAAGTGCATTTTCCTCATTTGTCTTCTTTGTTTTAGAAAACAATTATAACTAAAATTTGGAATTTTGTGCTTGTATCAGTTGAGAAGAAGTTAGGAATTGGGTATTTTTGAATGGTGTTCTGGCACCTTTCTATGTTTTCGTCTCAGTTTAAAAATAAAACAGTCAATTTATGAGAAATGGTCTTTTTTTCTCATCCTTCTTCTGGGATTTAGCATTCCCTGAGCAAAATGTGTAGTTTTGTCGTTTGTCATTAATCGGTACTTGTACTACTGGTGACTCCATGCAAATTTGAAGCTAGGATTGAAAGACAGAATACAACATTCAGCTTCTGGAGTTCAAAGGAATCCTCAGCAACTATAGTCATATGTAATCATAGTTAGATGAGGTGGTCTTGAGGCTTTTCTGGGGTTTACATTTACTTTGATATCTAATGATTGGAGAGCTGTTTGTGAATATTGGTTTGTTTTCTCCGTTGTATTTGATAGTGGTTTTTCTTTGTCTTTACTTCTAAGAGGACTCATTGTCCTCATCTTGTAACCTCACTTTCTTTACCAATAAATTTTGTTTTTGTTGTCAATAAAAAAATAAATAAATAATTTACATTAGATGGTGTACTCCTGCTTCCTTTTTGTAAGGGTAAAAGATGGTGGGAGTGGGAGTGTTTCTTTTTGGGAAGATACTTAGCTTGGGGATTCTTCTTTTGATGTGTTGTTCCCACATTTGTACTATTTGGTCTGTTTTCATAATGTTCCATCGCATCTATAGTGCTTTCCCAATCGGCACCGATTTCATGTAATTTCAATTTTTTTTTTTTTTTTATTGAAATATTAATATGATCATGAATTGATTGAGTTGGCAACTTGGCATCCTTGTTGAACATCCTTGAAGGTTTCTCCTTGAGACCCAATGTCAATGATAAATGGGTTTGGTCACTTAATTCTTTGGGGATCTTCTCAGGCAAATCGTTTTTCAACAAGATCATTGGTAATCACAATGCTCGTCCTTTTCTCCATCATTCTAGGATTTGGAACAATTTAAAGCAAATCGTTAAGGTTTTTGTGTGGACTTGGCTCACAGGAGTCTTATGACCAATTACATATTTCAAAACTAGGCTTTGTGGAATTTTTTCTTTTGGGATAGAGTGTTTTTTATCCTCATTTGGGGCTTTGCTTTCTTTTCCTTTTAAGGGGATTCAATTATTTTTGTTTTTTAGAATCGGTGGGCGGTATGTCATCAGTAGTCTATAATCTTGATGAGTTTTGCTCTTTTTATTTATTTTTTCTTTTTTTGGTGGACTTCTTGTTTCCCAGTTGTAATTTTCTTTATTTATCCTTATTAATATATTATTTTTGTTTCTAATAAAAAAAGATCCTATAATAGGCATTTTGATAAACACTCCCCATTTGATTTACTGAAGTTAGTTCGTGACAAAAATATTTGTGTTTTATTGAGTTAAGTCACTTTTAACTTACAGCTAGCTGCAAAGAAAAACTTTCTAGGAACACTCTCCATTAGTTTAAAGGGAATTTAATTCCTGTCACAAAAGTAGTGCTTTAGTGAGTGACCTTAGTTTCAACTTACTGCTAATGATACGATAGGCTTCAAAGAAATATTTTCCAGGTACGTTGAGTGTTTTGTTAATGTAAGAAACTTTTTGTTGGACTAAGTGGGAGATTTTCTACTACCTTTGTCAAGGACATAGAGAGGCACATGTACAATACTAGTTTCTTGTTGATGTTCTTCCGTTCTTTTTTAGAAAATGAAATTTTATTGCAATGGTTGGGTTAAGAATTTTTGTAAACTATATTTTGACCATGCATCTCCAGGTGTTACCTAATTAGCCCTTTATCTTATTGTGTCTTAAATGCTTCTGGTGTCTGGAATTGTCCACTTGCCTGTAATATTTCATCAATAAATTCTAGTAGAATTCAATTACCTTCCATCTTCATGTAATAATTTTGATGTGTTAGTATCGTGTAATTCAAAAAAGGTGGAGAAAACGAATGAGGTAGAGTGTAAGCAATAGGAGAAGGTATATTCCGAAGGTTTGCAGAACCTGGGGGATGTGAATGAAAGGGAAATGATGAGCACCTGATGTAGGACGAGTAGGGATTACTTTCCTACAAGTAGTGAGCCCGGTTTAAATATACTGGCAGCAGCAACAATAGATTTATGGGATTGGATTTTGTGGCTGCAAAAGTATTTAAAAAAATAGGGGTGCAAGGGTTTATAAAAGGATAGGGTTTTGGGAATGAAAACACGAGTGTAGGGGCTGGCAGGTGGCTGTTCTAAGCACTGTGAACAATGACGTGAATAGTAGTCTTGCTGGATAGAAGAAGAGGAGGAGAGAGAGAGAGAGAGAGAGAGAGAGAGAGGTGCTTCACCCTCACAAGGGATAGGCCAATCACACAAACACAATCTCAAATTTTCATATTAACTCTGCTATTGAATCATTGAGATTACACATATTTATAGGCTAAAGACTCTCCTAATTCTATAAGGACTATTTCTCAAATTTAGAAACTAAAAATATTTAACAACTACTAATATTCTAGACCAATTATGACTTCCAATTTTACTTTAATCATAATAGGAAACTTTAATGACTATTAATTCTGCTTCAATACAAAATAGGAAATTTGGACTTTTGACTACTAAGGGGTTGTTTGGGATGTCCTAAATAAGTGTACTTTTTGACTTTTTATGAAATATGGGTTGGGTATAAGTTGGGTTTGAAATGATGTGATAGAGAGGTGATGTGACTTAAATAAGATGATGTGACTTAAATAGAATAGTGACTTTTTGACTTTTTGGATTTTTTTGAGGATGCCAAACTTGGCCTAAGATTATTTTAGACATAATAAAACCCATATATAATAACCCATTTAATAACTTGACCCAAAATAAAACCCATGGGTGACCTCTACAATCCATGTCCAACAATTATTGGAATTACTATTATACCCTTAATTACTAAAACCTACTGTAATGACATGAAGACTCAAAATTATTCCCAATCTTCAACTCTTGATGCCCTAAATGTGTTTCATGTGAAATTCCAGATTTACTCTTTTTCTTCTTTCCATGATGTTCATCAGCACCCCTTCAAGGGAGTCCTTTCTCAAAGTGTAGCTTCTGAAGATGTGTCTTCTACTCCTTGAGAAAAGGAAATCAAGGATGAACTAAAAGAAATATGGATTGCGTTCTTTGTTCTAGAGATGAGACCAAGAGGAAGCTCAACAAGAAGATTCTTAATCTAAAGCTTGCATGGGCAAGATCCTTTGCTAAATTGTCTACCAATCCTAAGAACTTCATTGTGAAATTGCATGAAAGGGATAGTGGTTTTCTTTCTTTTTATGTTTTGTTTTTGTGTCTAGCTTGTCGGGTTGTGAGAGGTGTGTTTTGTGCACCTTTTTTTGGGTTGCGAGAAGCTTGTTTCTCGGTGGTTTGGGTTTGAGTATCCTTTGTGCCTATTCTTCTCGGGTTGTGAGAGGCTTTCCTTTCTATGTTAGGTCCTTTGTGTGTGCCTCTGTAGCAAGGTGGCCTCTTGGCAGTGTTTTGAGTTCCGTTGTATATTCTTCTATTTTGGGTACGTTCTTTTTTTGTAGTAAAAGCTTACTAAAAAAATGGTTTTGGCTGCTCATTGGAAAGTACAATCCTATCATTAATGAGTACAAATCTATTTGCAGCTGGCTTGATTAGAACCATAGGGCGCCAAAGAGGTTGACCTTTGAAATTGACCCATGTTCTGTATTCTCATTTGTAGCCACTATTCCTTGGGTTGTTTAGTGCTCTCAGGAAGTTGAGGCTTTGGCCTAGAAAGTGGATCCCAATTAAAACAGAGGGCGGCAAGTAGAAGAGCGGGAGAAGGTGGCGCAGCAGAAAAGTGAACAAATTGCATCACTCATGGTGGATACCATGAATCAAAGAAAAAAAGCTTTTAAAGTACCCAAACATGGTAATAGCCTCTATACTTTAAAGGTGCTTTTTACATTTGATATTATTGATTTGGTAATATGATCGTTATTGGTTTCAGTTTGAATTTGTTTCGTTCTATCTGTTGAAATAATGTTCTTTTCTATGTTGTAAGGATTCCTGACTAGAAATAGTGGAAGTGTCTATATTTTATCAAATACAGGACTTTATATGATATATTAGGTTGCACGTCCAAATCTTACATCAACATAAAACATATGGGGATCAATAGGATTTGAAGTTTTAAGGCTTGAGGTGTTTTCACCATCGTAATCAGCTTGGAATGTTAGTAGCGTCTAATATGTTTCTGTCTTAGAATGAGATGCATTTGGATATTAAATAATTTAAAAAAAAAAAAAAACAACACCCAATTAGTACACATTAATGTGTGTTTGGATATTAGATAATTTATTGATATAAAATTTGATTATATTAGTGCCGGAAAAATTCCTGTGGAAGCAGGGATTTGAATGTGCTTCAAATGGTACTTCTGCAATATCACATAATATTGAAAAAAGGGATCAGACATTATGCTAGTCTTGACAAAGATTAAATGCCAACGAACTTCTTGGTAGGATAATTCTAGATTCTGGTTTGATTGAGTGGGCAGTTGAATTGTTATTTAACAAACTTTATTTCTTCTTTTGAAGTTTATATTTGGCAGAAAGCAAAAATGAAGTTTTGACGAAATTTCATTATGCTTCAGATTAGACAAATTGAACATTGTGGAGAAATTAAGGTGAGCTAGATTACCTATAGATGTGTCACATAACCCCACTCATAAAGTGGAATATCATAAGTTCAATAAAAGTTCCTCTGGGATAAAATGAACTAAAGGCAACATAGCATTGAAACTTTAACTTGAACTTTTTGTAGTGCTATAGCCAAGGTCATCAAAATAACTGGCATTTTTATTATACACCATTTTCTTCATAAGGAACCAAAATGGTAATAGTGACATAAATGCTCCCACTAATTCCTTTTGAGTGCTTGGAAATGAAAATCAATCAAATTGTCAAGGAGTGATTCCTTTGACCTTGTGAAGAAGGGTCCTTGCAGCACGCAATTGCTGCTGCAAAATCTTGTTAATAAACTGTAGAAAGTGATTTTTTAATTTATTTTTTTACTTTTATAGCTGAATTGTTTCCACTAAACCGATACATTAGGTTTATTCAATAGGGGAAATATTGTTTTTCACCAAAGCCAATGAAAGCTACGTGAACTTTCGCACCATTAGATTTCTTTGGTTTAATGTGAATTGGTAGCCCCTGATTGAAAACTGGCATTGGATTTCTGCAGAAAGAATTTTCAATGCAGGAAAGCTTACATGTGAACTGGGTCATTAAGTAATGAATCATAGCTAGTGTTTCAATTCTAGCGAACTCATACCCAAGACACATTCTTGGTCCTCCTCCGAATGCGACAAAGCAGTAAGGAGGGGCTGGTGCTTGCTGCTCAAAGCATGTTGGATTGATCTTTGATGGATTTGGGAAAATCATCTCATCCATGTGAGTCATGCTTGCTGCCCATGCCACCTGTTTATCAGAAATTTGTGTTACTTCTAGCTTTTATTTTATTTACGTTACATACATTTGTTCTGGTAATTAATCTGCAATTATGGAAATATTAGCAATATTTACACATACTTGCCACCCTTTTGGTATTAGACATCCTCCAAATGAACCCTCCTGAAGGAACAAAACCCAGGAGGGGTTATCCTTAAAGAGTCTCCATTGCTACTCTCCATGTGTATTTCATCTTGGTAAGATCATCCCATGGGAGAAGCTCCCCAAGGGTCTTGCTTTTAGCAATCTCCTTTTGTTCTGCAATCTCAAAACAGATAATTTTTCAGTATGTTCTATTTTCTAGTATCCTCTTATCTTTTCAGTTCTTCAATCTTTCTCATGAATCATGATGAGGGAGCTAGTTGGGGGCATACCTTGAACAATAGCAGCATAAATGGATGGTTCATTGGCTAAAAGCCCGATCAAGAAGGTAAGGAGGATGGAGGATGTGTCATATTCTCCAATCATTATAATGACCACGTTGTCCTCAATCTCCTGATCAGACAGTAGAGCTGAATTGTCTTCATTGCAGATACTAAGCAAGCAAGTGATGAGATCTTGATGGGGGAAGCACCATTTGTTTCCAAGGTTACCCTCTTCTCACTTGTAAGGTCCATGAGTATGGTTTTCATTTTTGCCCTTGCTCTGAGGCTAAGGCAAATTCACTGGTACTGACAGCATTCCTCCAATCATGTTTGAAATAAACCTCTTAGTCCATCTCTTCTTGCTCCTCGTTCTATTCCAAATATGAGTGAACAAATAATGTTGAATGTGAGGGTCTTCATCAAAGGCATCACCTATATTACCAACAAATTGTTTCATACTATTAATGCAAGGAGGAAAAATTAATAGGTCAACATGTCTAAGGTCCAATGGAAATTGTCATTTCCCCATGTGTAAATGTGGTTGGTTTTGTAGATTCTCAACTAGCTACTAGCCAAACAAAAACCTCATGCGCGTCTCTTGTTCCACTCAAGACATCATGATTTGCTTTTGTAAAGAAAGGACCATCTTCATTTCATTATAATTTTATTGACTCGTTACTAGATAAAACTATGGATTTAAACCTAGAGTTTTGAAATTTACATCAGTAGTTGCAACATAAGTTGACCTCATTTTTGCCATGCCAATGCATCTCCATGTGCTTTCTAACTTCTTCATCCATCTTCCCAACATATTGTTTTAATGCTTCAGGCTTCAAAAAGGATACAAGTGTTCCCCTTATTCGCTTGTGATTTTCGCCACTCAACTCCAGTATATTTTTCTCACCACAGACTCTCCTCATTGATGCTGGTTGTTGGTTGGAAACCGTCTTGCTGTCACACGTGTATATAAATTTGTTTGCAGCCTGTCCATGGAGAAAAACTGTAGGAGCTCCAAAGAGGCTGAGTTTGGAAATGGGACCATACTTTCTTATTCTTTCATGGAACCATGCCTCACCCTTGTTCGCTTCCATCGCATGTAAAGGCTGAGGCTATGGCCTATGATGGGTAATCCCATGGAACCTGGTGGGAGCTTGTTGGAAGTTTTCTTGGTTAGGAAGAGGAAGATAGGAATAAGTAAAAGTAGCAAACTCAGATAGTTGACAAATTCCATGGCTGGTGGAAATAGAGAGAGTTATATATTGGTTTTGAAACTTTAAGATGGTGAAGACTATTCTTATATGGGCGATTTTGAGGTGATAAGGACGACCCTTCTTTTACCTAAACAAATGAGAGAGATTGGCCCTTCTTTGCTTTGTCACTTTGTTTTTGTAGAGAGAGAGAGAGAGAGAGAGAGAGAGAGAGAGATTGGCCCTTGTTGTCTTTTTAGTTACAATCTTGCTTTGTCATTTTCTTTTTGTATATACTTGTTGTCTTTGTAGTTACAATCTTGCTTGTCATTTTCTTTTTGTTTTTTTTAGTTGATGATGTTGACATGAATAGATGTTGTCAATATTTGTTGGGCTTATAAGCCATATAATGGAGTTGCTTGGACATTTGCATAGTGATTAAAGCACTGCCTTCTGAAATGGACCTGCAATGTTTTCCGTAGTTAATGATGTTGATATGAATAGGTGTTGTTGCCAATATTTGCTGGACATATACACTTCAAAGGAGTTGCTTGGATGTTTCCATAGTGACTACAACACTTCCTTCCAAAAGGGGCTCTATTTCCAATGAGTAGCAACAAAGGTCCAAATTTAATTATAAAACTATTTGTACACTAAAATTTGTTATGTTCATTAGAACGAGCCATAATTCTAGTGTTAAAAAATGCCATTAATCACCCTGTCATCTGGCATTTTTTTTTTAAAAGGAAGAAGAAAAAGAAGAAGAAGAAGAAGAAGAAATGGAAAAGCATAGGTGTCAAATGACAATAATGACACATTATCTTCTTATTGTGCGACAAGACGACAATTATTGTCATTTGAAATTTTTTCCCTTGCATCATCTCCTCATTTCACATCATCACTTTTTTACCTCTCATCGCTCTCTCTCCCCGTCATTTTTCTCTGTCACCCTTTTTTACACTGATGATTTTGATAATATAGGAATTGATGATAAAATGATGTTGTTCGTCTTGCTCTTGAAGATTTTTTACTAAAAAAATAAGTTTTTCAATTTTTTTTTGGGGTGCTTAATATGTCCTTAAGCAATTGAAGCTTCTTTCTGGTTTTTGTTTTTTGGATTCCTTGAAATTTAGTAAGGCTTGTTTAGGTCATAGGATGAGAAATAGGCTTTTTTTCCCCTTGAAAATGTGAAGTCCTTGGGGACATTTTGTCAAGAAAAAAATTGTGAGTATTAAGATTTTTACATGGCCATTTTATAATTCATTTCTCCATTCACTAACGGTGAGCGATTATAGGTGGGTTTTCAATCTATACCCTTTTTCCAAAGTAGAAACTTCATTTGGGTTTTGAAGTTTTAAAAAACCTTTCTTAGTTGTGGTCTAAGTAGAAGGGAGAAAGACAAATGATGAGGGGGAGAGAGAATAATTGTTGAAAAGGAGAGATGATGAAGAGTGAACAAGTGGAGCGAGAGAGAGAGTAAAAGGTGAATGATGGTTGAGCTAAGCCCTAGAGAAGTAACCAATCAGAGGAAAGGATCTTAATTTATATTGACCAGAAGCATCACATACAAGTTAAAACAAAGAGTATCATGGTATGTCATCCTTCCCTAAAATGGAACTTTCATGCTGGAGCAAGAACTATCATGAAAATCAATCTCGACCTAAAGCAGACTTGAGGGCTCTTGCTATTGACAGGAATGAACCTACTTCTCAAGACCAGGTATGCAGCTTGTTGGTTGCATTGAGTATGTTGTGGTTAGTTAGGCTTAGTTTACTTTGAAATGAATGCAAATAAAAATAGCCCGCATTTATGCTAACAAGGGGAGCTGAAGATTTCCTTGCTACTTCAATACTAAGACAATAGCTGTTGTACAATTAAACAAAAATAGTTGTTGTACTATTAAGATTAAGTAGCTATACAATAGAATACCGTTGGCCTTGACCTTAGCTAAGTTTTCAAAGTTGAACAGCCTGTCCTTTATAGAATTTGAACACCATCCCATTTCAACCAAAAATACAACCCTGTCTGGATTAAATATATGAAATTTCATGTAAGACCTCATTACATAAAAGTTGATTTTATTGCTTATATTTTGCAAAGGCAAAATTGTCTTTTGCCACACATTCTCATGGGACAAATTCATCCCATGGTATTCCTAGTTCGTGCGTTTTTGGGAATTTATTGTTTAATGGGATTGTTTATCCACGAACTATGCGATTATTTAATGGGATTGTTTAATTCGTGCATTGTCTTTTTTCATTTTTTTTTGGGGGGGGGTGTGCAACTAAACACGAACTATGCGGAACTTATTAAATTACCAATCCAATCCCAACTCCTACCAGGGTTATCAAATAAGACCTTAATGTTGGTAGATCCCAAGTATGTCTTTGCATTGAAAATAGGAATATTGTTGAAGAGGGATTCTCTGTGAAGATTGGTTCAGGGGTCTACGTCAAGTTATGTTTTGGCGTGGTTTATGGTTCGGTGATAAATCTTTGAACGATGAGTTTCCTAAACTATTCTCGATTTTATCTCAGAAATCTGTTATGGTTAATGATGTTCTTTTGTTCGATGGAAACCTGAGCAAGTGGTGTTTGCTATTCAGGAGGAGTTTATTTGTTTGGGAGAATGTCCTTTTGGATAATTTAATGAATACTTAATTCGCTTTGCTTGACTCTTTACATGGAGGATAAGCTGTAATGAAAGTGGGATAAAAATAATGGAACCTATTCGATTAGATCTTTTTATTATGTCTATGAAAATTTATCTTGTGGTTTTGAGGTTTCTCTTCTCAAGTCGCATCTCTTTTCTGGAATAATCTTCGCCCATTCCAAGTCAAAATATTTTAGGGGTGTTTGGGAAGAAACTTTTTTGGCTTTTTTGGCTAAAATAGCACTAAAAGACAAAATAGGTTAAAATAGCTAATAAGACAAAATGTCACATCAAACCCATAATCATTTCACTTTTTCTCTTACAAACATCACATCCAACCATAAAAAAAACCAACTTTCTTCCCAAACACAAAAATTTTAGCTTCCTAAAATAGCCTACTAAAATAGCAACTTCCCAAACACCCACTTTGTTGGCAAGCTATTCTAGGTAAAGTAGCCTCTTAGGAAATTTTTAGCTAACAGGGGTATTCCTAAATGAGTTTTAAGCGCTTTGTCCAATGTGTTTGAGATTTGTCAAATCTGTATACCATCTCTTCATTCATTGTCAGTTTGCTTGGGAACGCTGGTCCTGTTGTTTAAACTGGTGCGGGTGGTGTTTGTTTGGTCTGCCTTGCCTCTCTCTGTGATATTTTTATGTGGTGGTTTGATTCTCCTTTTCAGAACCTTGAGAAACAACTTTGGGTGACCCTCTTCTACATGGTTATCTGGTTAGCTCAAAATGCTACTGTCTTTAACCACTCAGAACAGCATGTTCATGACGTGATTCACCTAGTAAACTTGTGTTTCGCTCTTTGGGCAAAAGCTTGTTTTGTTATTGTCAATTACCCAATGTCTGGGTATTATCAGCTACCTTGACGGGATCAGGAAACTTAAACTGAAGCTTCTTTCAAAGTCGCCTTGACAGACATTGAAGTGATAAGATGGTTAAGGTGCGAAGGGGGCTTGGGTCTTTTTTATTGTTCTTCTTGTTGCTGCTGATATGTTCTTTGATGTTGCTGGTGTAGGGTTGCTGTTTTGCTGGCGAGGGAGGTCTTTCTTTCATGAAGAATATTTTTATTGCTATGGGAAGCCTTAAGTTATAACTTATAAGGTTGTGTTGTTGCTTCTTAAGGCTGAGGGTTGTTCTTGACACTACAAGAAAAAGTACTTTGCACGGTGTTTATAATATAGCGTTTTTTGAAACGTCTTTGTTGATTAGTCAAGCACAACGTTTTGTAAATGTTGTCTTACATCTAGGTCAGACAACGTCATTTAGCTATGTAGTGATCACGCCGGTTCATATTAAAACCTTCTCGCCGTTTGAGACCTTTCAAAACCATCTCACTCCAAACTCTCTCAAACTCAGATCCCTTTTCCAAACTCTCTTCAAACTCAATCACTCTCTTTCTCTCTCTTCACTTCAGATTCATCAAATAGTACAACCACCATGTTCAGAAACTCTCAGTTTCCTCGATATTGAGTTTGAACAGAAGATATTGTGAAGGCTCTTGAGGTTGAAAGTCCTCAGTCACTCTCGGTTGAATGATCTACGTTTCTCTCTCTCTCTCTCTCTCTCAGATCCATGAAGGTTGTCGATGATTTGAAGGTTGATTCTTGCAGATTTGAAGGTTGACTGTCCAGATTTGTGATTCTCTCTTCCAATTTTGTGAGTATTTAATTCGTTTATTTATCTCTCTTTTTTTTTTTTTTTAGATTGTATACATTCGAGAACATAGATCTGAGATCAGCCCCTGTCAAAGCTGTCTTTCAATCAATTGATCGATCGATTGTTTTCGTTCAGATCTATTTCGATTAATCATTTGATTGATTTTTGTGAGTCTCGCTCTCTTTTTTCTAATAAATATCTGTTTCTCTCTTCGAGATTTAGATCTGTTCTACTTGCATTTCGGCACTACACTTTGGCATAAAGGTAATAAGCTTCATTCTCTCTCTCCTGAAACTTGCTCTCTATGTTCCATGCATATCCAGACTTAGGCTTTTTTTAGTATTGATGTTTTTGATAGTGTATGTTAAAGTTTTTGATTTTTTTTTTTTCAAATTTTTGGTTTGGTTGTGAATGTGCCACTAATTGTTATATTGATCCATGATTCTTTATGTAGTAACTGTTGCTGCAATTTTTATGAAGTGAATTCATTGAAGATATTTTTTGATTTTTTTAATGTTGATCGTTGGAAACAGTGTATAGAAGCCCAATGATGAAGAGATGTAGATCTGCCCTCTCTTCGATCAGATCTGCTTTCTCTCTCTGATCTGCTAATATGGTAATATCAGATCTGCTCTGTCTCTCTCTAGTCTATTATTTTGCTTTTTTAAGGAATCTCATTCTGGCATTTTCTTTCTTTTTGACTCTCCTAATAATCGTTTCAGGGTAGTTCCCATTTAAATTGATAAACTACTATTTTTCATTGCTTGCAATTGCTTGGAAAGAAAAAATGTGATTTACACCAATAGCAACCAGCTATATGTAGATGATCTGGCTTTTTATTTTGTGAAGCTACAAGAGATTATCTTAAAAAGATCAATCTGCGTCTTAAAGTGTTTTGTGGTTTCTAACATTGGTCATTCAACTCTTGGTTTATTTTTTATTTTTTGTTGAGTTACCTAGATCAGGGTTCATCAAAAAAGGGGGAAAAGACACCCTTTGGCGGCCTAAAGTTTATTCTGTTCAATCTTGTTACTTCTGCAGCCCATATAATATGCTTTATGCTTGTCACTACTAGTATATTTTGATACAATTCATGCTTGGGAGTTTATATCATGTTTCAGTTCAGAATTCAAATGTTATTTTGGAGTTGTGGTTCATATCAAAATTTGATTTTGATGAGATGGTTAACAAAATTTCCAATTTCAGAAAGTATATTCGTTGAAATTTATGAAAATGGGAAGTATGAAGATGGCCAATCAAATAAAAAGGGTCATATGTTTGAGGTGTATTTATTTTGGACAGCTATATTCTTGACAGTATTCATGATTGTTAGATATACAATATTTGATTTTTTTATTGAATGTAAGGTAGAGCAATGATATTCACATTCCACTTGTGAGAGGCTAAGAGTGAAAAGTTTAAAAGAGAATGGGAATATAATTTCTATTAATGCCTTACTGAACAGGATGAACATGGTTGGTTTTTATTGTATTGCGTACTCACTCATACTTTGTTCCAATGTCTATTTTTCTTTCAGCTTGAGATCCTCTGTAATTTGGCGATGGGAGAAGAAAAAAATGTTGTAAGAATCTTATCAAGTTACTCTATTGGTTATTAATATCATAGCAAAAAAGAACAAGAGGCTAATTTCTTTGTTGTTTATTCTCTCTGCAGCAGTGTGACTGCTAGGTTAATAACCAAACTTGTGGTTGGACTTGGCCTTGGGGAGGTAATAGTGATTGCAGTGTGAATGATTTCTTTCCTTTTTTTTTCTTTTTCTTTTTTAAATTCAACTATAGTGGCCTCAAGTTGCTTGGGCATTAATCTTTGTTAAGGGATACCTTTAATGTTTGGGATTTCTTATTTTATAAGTAGAGAGATTATCAACTTGTTGAGACAAAGCGTTATATGTTAAAAGGACTAATAAATGCGAATGTTTGATTAACTGATGTTTGGGATTTCTTATTGCATATGAAAGATTTGTCATTGTCAACCAGAAAAGGTTTGTCCATTTCCAATTGGGAAGAACAACAAAATGTCATAACAGTTGTCAATCTCCTCAAAGCTTCTTCTCTTTCTTGATCTTTCTCTTTCTAAAAGTTTTTTTTTTTTTTTTTTTTTTTCACCACAAAAAGGGTTGCTTTTTTTTTTTTTTTTTCAGGTGTTTCCACCATTTTATATCATTGGAGTATTTGGCAACGTATTTTTTGTTTTCTTTATTTTAATTTATAATATTATTTTTAAATAAGGAACTAATAAAGACAAGAATTAGTGGGCCTTATTTGGGATAACTTAAAAAATCAAAAAGTTCATACTATTCAAGAGTAGCTTGTGGGGGAAGCTTAGAAGGCAAAATTATTATTTTATCCTTTGAATTCATCTACTCAAAAGTCAAAAGTTTAAAGTGAAAAAGTCAGCAAGCATAGAATGGTCATTTTGATTTTACTACAATATTTTATTATACAACTTTTCGTAAAAAGTTAAAAAATTATCTCAAACATACATAATTTTCTCTACTTTTTAGCAAAAAAGTCAAAAAAATACACTTATATATCACATCCCATATATCAGGCTTCCAGGAAGGTGAGTGCCAATTTTGCTGTTGGATCTATATATATTTGAGTCAATCATATTTTATGCATCACTCACACACCCAAAAAAAATTGAGCAAATTCATTTTGGTGAGGCAGGAGGTATAAAAAAATTCGAAAGTGCAAGTACCAAATCTGAAGATATAAAAAGTCCATTTGAGTGATAGAGAGAGAGAGAGAAACTCGTTGGTGCTGTGTGGTGTAGAGAGTGCTTTCTGAATCAGGCAGGCAAGTAGGCGTGCATATGATATGCAGAAGATCCAATTATTTTCAAAAATATAATTATTAGCGATTTGGTAATGTAAGTATAATAAGTACATTCTTTGTATTTTGATTTGGGTGTGCAATTATAGTTGCTGGGTGTACTTAGGCTTGGGGTGTTTTGTTTCTTCTCTGTTTCTTTCTGTTTTTTGGGTTGTTGTTGATTGGCCTCTCATCAATCTCGGGCCTGTGCTAACATATAATTGTGCTGTCTCTCCGGTGCCATCTTAGATGGGATTGTAGAGCTTTAACTATGATGCTCGTTTTGCACAGCCTTGTTTTATTGACGTAAGTTCCTCATGTTTTGGTTCTTCATTAATAAAATTTTCTTTTGCTTTTGCTGACCACAAAAAAAGAAAAAGTAAAAAGTACATATATATACACACACACATTGACTCCACTGCAATAATATAATGATTCTTTATTTATTTGGGGTTATATTCTGTTGTACTAGTGAGTTGTGTGCATGCATCCCATCTGCAACTGCAACTGCAACTGCAATACACAAACAAACACTCTGTAATGTTGGTGTTATATAAAAAGAAAGAAAAAAAAATGGTTAATTGCATTTGTCTATCATATGATGAGTCAAATTCATATTTATATTTATATTTCCTGTTTGTTGTTTGTGTTTAGTAGAGAAAAAAGAGAAACTATCTCATCATGTGGTTGTTACTCTTGTTTTGTTTTCTGTAGAGATAGTTCCTTGTGATTCTTTCAGATAGATCAGATAGTTCACTCTCCTTTCAAATCAAATCCAATCCAATCCAGAGAAACTACACTTTTTTCAGGTATGTATCTTTCCTACTCTCTCTACTCTATGTTTCCTTCTAATTTGTATGTTTCTTCTATGAACAAAAATACTTTCAGAAACTTAATTACTACATGACAAACAGTGCACCAAAGTTGTTTGTCCTGAATTATTTCTTTACTTTATGTGTATTTTATTATTGTTTTTATCCAAATTCCAAATGTATGCCCAGTTTTCATTTCGATTGGATGGAATTTAGTCGCGATAGATTGAGAACAGACTTAACATTTAGCGTAATTTGGCCAAATTGCAATATGCCGTTAACTTAAAAACCCTAATCAACCCTAACCAAAGGAAGTTATAGTCATAACTTGCAGACATTGATGAGTTACCTAAATGGAGAGCAGGTAATTACGAAGGAAACACCTAACCTCCTTAGCAGAAACACACCTACATTTGGTGAAATATCAATATCATATAAGCCTTTTTGTGTTTTTGATGGGTCTAGCTTAGATTAAACACCTAATTTCAGTCACATAAATATGAAAGTGAGATTGTTATTCGGCGGTCTTTGTCAAATGTGTTTTTGCAACTCTTCAATACAAGTTAAACGTGATAGGCTGGCTTCCCTGCTTTTAATTTGTCTATTTTTGACAAAATATCACTTTACTTTATGAATTTACACTAAAAATTCAAACATGCTATTCAAACTCTTTACTTGACCCGTTTGAACTTTATCACATGGTTTGAATTAAATTTGAATTTGAATAATGAAGATGTAAAGTGTGAGCTGTTTTTTCCTAAGTTGAAAAGTTTAGATTGATGGTCATGTTAACTTGGTTTAAGCTAAGAAATTGATATTTCTAAATAATTTAGAGGTTCTATTTGTATATTTTTATAATTTAGGGAGTTAAAATAATATTTTATTTAGTAATTTCTCTATTCACTCTTTCTTTAGCACACATTAGGTAAACATTCCTTTAGTTAGAGTAGGAGTTTTGATATTGCAAAGCAAGACAATCATTTAGAAACACAAATCATAGGAAGCGTATGTCCTTACACAATAAAATCCTAAGGTAGACATCACATAACCTTAGGCAGTAGCTCAGCATTGTTTATGGTTGACAACTGCAAAAAGAAAATGAAAACTCAATAATAATCTACCAGTAATATCTATATTTTGCTACATATAATGTTTGCTTTTTTTTATTTTTTATTTTATTTTCGGAAACAAAAAAAATGAAAATTTCAAAACCACCATTGCCTTCATATTGTTTTCATTTTTGCACAAAAAACAGCTTTTGAAATTCTGGAAATAAATTTTTGTTGTTTCCTAAAAAATGAGATAGGTTTTTGAAAAAAGTATTCAAAAAATAATTCAGAAAACATGTCTATTTTTCTGTAATAGAAAATTCCTTTCAGATAAGAATTGTATTGTTTTTGGGCATAGCTTGAGGTAAATCATGAATTGTTCGCTTACTCATGAGAGTTATTCCTCATAAATTCATAATCTAGTTCACAATCTAATTAGGATTCAACTTGGATTTCATCTTCAAAGAGTACCAATCTGTCTTGCCTAAAAATAAAAAAAAAGAAAAGAAAAAATTAGGAAAGATTATGATAGGAAACATTCATAATGACAACAAAAAAAGAGGTGAGAAACCTGATAATATTGTCTATGTAGATGGAAAATAAGATATTTAAACAACCTATGCATGATTTCATAGGCTGACAAATCTATCAAGTGTATGTTGAATGGGCCTCAAAGAAAATATGCAAATTGAAAGGCCAATTAATTTTATTTATTCCTAATGTAGTAAAATTTATAGTGAAAACTCACAACATTTTTAAATTACTTATCGATTGAATAAAGATTTTACACAATGCAGAAGGACCATAGATTTTTTCTAAGAGAGATAACAAGTAGGCATTCTTCTCCTCTTTCACTTTGGTGAATAACTCTTTTTACCATCACTCCAAGTCATGGCATCTATCACTTTTTGATTGATTGTATATACATTTTTTTTCTTTTTTTAAAAAAAAATTCTTGGTTTTAGGAAAAATAAAAATATTTAATATAAATAAACATGTAGAGAGTGTTTAATAACCAAATTTAGCACTTAAAACTAAATGTATTAAGTGATAATCAATTAAGCCCATTAGATAACTACAATTGATATCACTTAAAAATTTAAGTGTTTCTTAAAATGTAAGCTAAAACTTAAAGGAAAATTTTAAATCATATGAAACTTACTTAATTCCGACTAAATTTATAAAACTAAACATAAATATCGATATATACTGTTATAAACTCACCACCACCACCACTATCATCATAACCGCAACTATTACTACTACTACTACCACCACCACCACCACCACTACACCACTATCACTACCACCACTTTTATCACTATTGTTATTATTGCCATAAGTATTATCATCATTTTATTACTACTACAATCACTACTGCTACCACCACCACCACGCCACTACCGTTGCCGCTACCACCACTACCCCCACCATCACAATATAAAAATTAAAATATACAATTTGAAAATAATAGATTTTAAATTTTATTTTTTACATATCAAACAATTTATTTTTAGTTAGCACTTAAATTTTCATCAAATAATTTTTTAATTAAAAAAATTCAATATTCAATATTTAATTAAAAAATTCAATATACTGTTATAAACTCACCACCACCATCACTATCATCATAACCACAACTATTACTACTACTACTACTATCACCACCACCACTATACCACTATCACTACAACCACTTTTATCACTATTGTTAGTATTGCCATAAGTACTATCATCATTTTATTACCACTACAATCACTACTGCTACTACTACCATCACCACCACCACCACCACCACCACCATGCCACTACCGTTGCCGCTACCACCACCACCACCACCACCATCACAATATAAAAATTAAAATATACAATTTGAAAATAATAGATTTTAAATTTGATTTTATACATATCAAACAATTTATTTTTAGTTAGCACTTAAATTTTCATCAAATAATTTTTTAATTAAAAAAAATTTAACATTCAATTTTCAATCTTCAATTTTTAACTTTATCAAATACACTGCACACATTTGCCTTAATGACCTAAGGTCTCACTATTGGAATTCGGCAACTTGAAACCAAAAAAAAATGAAAAATTCCTAATCAAAACTTAATATAAAATTTGTTAAAATGCATAAAAACAAAAGAAAAAAAAGAAATTGAGTGTTAACATTTTCTTTTTTCTTCTTTATTTAAGGAAGGCATTATCTCACTCCACTAGGTCTCTCCCATATTTATCCAAGGGCCTGAAAAACATTCATTGTCCAAAGGTCCTT